CTGTGTGGGAGTGATGGGACAATCAGTAAAAAAGTCATTGTCTCCTTAAAAAAAAAAAAATTAAAAAAAAAAAAAAATACAACAAAAGCTGCCTGGGTTTACCAGAAGAAAGCTTGTCCTGCTGAGTGCAGTTTCCCAGGATGGCACAGCAGAGCTCTGTGTTTACCTTGGACAGCTCAGGCAGGCTGAGGGAAGCCAAGGGTTGCACAAGAACAGAGATTCTTTGTGCCCTGGCAGGTCCCCTCTCCTCTCACCCTGCTGATTTACAAACATTCTTTCAAAGAATGAAGGGCACTGCTGGCTCAGCCAGCCTGGGATGCCACAGCCCGAGGAGGTGGCACCTGGAGCACCTCTGTGGGTTCCAAACTCTGCTTTGCTTGGGGACCTGCTCCGTGGTGGCCACGAGGCTCCCAGGACAGGAGGAACGGCCTCAGGCTTTGCAGGCTGGACAGCAGCAGGAATTCCTGCAGGAAAAGGTGCCCAGGTGTTTGAAGCAGGAATTCCTGCAAGGAAAGTGTGCCCAGGTGTTGGCAGCAGGAGTTCCTGCAAGGAAAAGGCGCTCCGGTGTTGGCAGCAGGAATTCCTGCAGGAAAAGGTGCCCAGGTGTTGGCAGCAGGAATTCCTGCAAGGAAAAGGTGCCCAGGTGTTGGCAGCAGAAATTTCTGCAAGGAAAAGGTGCTCAGGTGTCGGCAGCAGGAATTCCTGCAAGGAAAAGGTGCTCAGGTGTTAGCAGCAGGAATTCCTGCAAGGAAAAGGTGCTCCGGTGTTGGCAGCAGGAATTCCTGCAAGGAAAAGTTGCCCAGGTGTTGGCAGCAGGAGTTCCTGCAGGAAAAGGTGCCCAGGTGTTGGCAGCAGGAATTCCTGCAAGGAAAAGGTGCTCGGGTGTTGGCAGCAGAAATTTCTGCAAGGAAAAGGTGCTCAGGTGTCGGCAGCGGGAGTTCCTGCAAGGAAAAGGTGCTCCGGTGTTGGCAGCAGGAATTCCTGCAGGAAGAGTTGCCCAGGTGTTGGCAGCAGGAATTCCTGCAAGGAAAAGATCCTCAGGTGTTTGAAGCAGGAATTCCTGCAAGGAAAAGGTGCTCCGGTGTTGGCAGCAGGAATTCCTGCAAGGAAAAGGTGCCCAGGTGTTGGCAGCAGGAATTCCTGCAGGAAAAGGTGCTCAGGTGTTGGCAGCAGGAATTCCTGCAGGAAAAGGTGCTCAGGTGTTTGAAGCAGGAATTCCTGCAAGGAAAAGGCGCCCAGGTGTTAGCAGCAGGAATTCCTGCAGGAAAAGGTGCCCAGGTGTTGGCAGCAGGAATTCCTGCAGGAAAAGGTGCCCAGGGGGGCTGGGAGTCCCCAGGCCCGGAGGTGGCACAAGCTGGGGATGGGCACAGGTTGGGCTGGGAGAGCTTTTCCAGCCTCAGTGACCCCGGGATGCACCAGAGAAGGAAATCCATCACACCAGTGGTGAGCACAGGTGAAGCCCAAGTCACCCCCTTCTTGGTCTGGAAATGTGCAACCTCAGGGTGGAAACTTTGGGAAAGTTAATGAAGGAAAAAAAAACCCTCTAGAGCTTGAAAAACTCACATTTGTGTTTGTGAGAACTCACTTCTAAGGCGAGCTGCCAGCTGGAAGCATCAGTCTCTGTGCTAGGAGGGCTCAGTCCTGGTTTTGATGCATTTCTTTAATATCTCTCAGACATTCAAAAGCACTCTTACGTCACCAGGAATTTCTTTTGTATCACATTATTTAATAAAAACCTGCTGAAGACATCAGGAACCGCTGCAGCTCTGTATCATCATCATCATCATCATTAGTGCTTCTCATTTTTAAAAGCAGATTAGCATTCCTGATTTAACTAAGCTTTTAAATACTGTTTTGCATATTATCTACATCCAGCTCTGAGCTGGGGATGTACAAAGAGACATTTTCATCTCTTCTACAGGAACCAGAAAACCACTGAGTGCCTCATTTTTAAGTACAAATTTTGTGGCAGGGGGACGTGTGTGCGTTTTACACACACACTCCATCACAAACTGTGGGGTTCTACTTCATTTTTATTTCAAATAAAAATCAAATCGATGCTATTGCAACATACTCCACTTGACAAAATTAAACTACAATAAAAATCTGTATTAAAATTAGCCAGGTTTAAAATATAAACACCAGCTTTTTACTTCACATGGTTTTCAGGAACTCAACAAAAGCCACGCGGAACTTTGGATAACACCTAAAAATACAAAAGCAGAGGGTGATGAAAATTTGCACAATGTTTCTAAACACCACCATTAACCTGGATTTAATTCCCCAGCACCCACTGGCAGCTTTTTGGAGATTGGGGGAGTCTTTTTTTATCAAGGTAAGATTGCAGGGCCCATCAGAGGGAGCTCAAACACAGCTCTGGCTGAAAGCCCTTAAAATTAAGTGACTTTAGGTAAATATTAAAATTTAAAAAAGCAATCTTGGAAACTTGAGAAAATCTCCAACAAGAACAACCCTTAAAATGCAGGTCACAAATTAAAAATATTACATTTTTTTACCATTTCAAGAGTCACATCTTGAAAGGCTCAGCAGTATCTGCACGTTAATTTTTTGGTTAATTACAATTTGAAAGGATTTGGTTTATCAGGATTTCATGCAAAAATTACAACCTTGGATGAGTAAATAGCTGCATGAAAGCATCCCTGGGCTGAGAAATCCAGACAAGCCCTGGTAAACAAGCCCAGAAATCAGAGCAGCGCTGAAATTCCAAACCTCACAGAGAATAAAAAAATTAAAAAAAATAAAAAATAATTAAAAAAAAATAAAGAGAGAAGGAGCAGAGCCACAAACAAAAAAGAGGAGTCACAGAGAAAAAAAATCCTAACTCCCCCTGTGCTGTCCTCACCCACTTTGTTACTATGGGACTGGCAGCCAGCTCTGGATTCTGAGCACCAAGGTCCCACTCACAAGACAATTAAGCAGCTCCAGAGCTTCCATCGAGCACCCACCTCCGCTCTGCCAAGGTCTGCGCCTCCCAGCAGAGCTGAAAGGCCAAAAATCCACCCTGCCAGCTGAAAGCCAGCTCTGCTGCTCCACGCTCCAGGGAAACCCTCTGCAAAACAAAGCTGACGGGTTTTTGGGTTTATTTTGGTGAGGGTAGTAAAGGTGGATCAGAACTTCAAAATCCCACACGGATCCAACATCGTAAATGGGTGGAAGATGACCGTGGCAGAAAGGAAGTTCAGAATTTCTGCCTCTGCTCTGAGCAGTAACCAACAATAAGGCAGACAAGATGGTAAACATTGCAAAAAGACAATTACTAATAATGAAAAGGCAACAGAAATTCTGGGCTGCTTCCACCAACTGAGTAAGGCGTTTTCAAACTGACAGCAACGTGCTGCTTGCCAAATGAAAATGAGAGCAAACAGCAAAGTTGTGCTTAACCCCTTTTTGCTTTTATGCTGCATTTTGAGCCCCGATGAAATCATGGAATTTGAAAGAAAAAGTCTACAAAGGAGACATTTTACTCAGCTCTCTGGTCAGTGTTTCCATCACTTCAGTACCCAGAATGCTCAGAAAAGTTATTCATCTTGGGTCCTTTCCTCAAAACCAGGTTCTTGAAAGCGTGATGGGTTTCCAAGAGCGAAACCTGGGTTAGGAGTGCTCGGATTTGGGAGAAACCGAGATGGGGTTCAGGAGAAATGAATGTGGATTCTGACTCCTCCTGCAGAAGGTGAGAGCTCAACGTGTGAGTTAACTGAAGGCCAGCCTGTAATTCACATTGCAAAAACTCCCTGAGGAACACCCAGCAGCAAGGACTGACCACCGCAGGCAGAACCCCAGGACACTGAGCCACACAAGACGATTCCAGTGCCTACAAACACCTCCAAATTATCCTCACTCTGGTGCCAACTAACTCCAGCAGGAACATCCAACATGCAGGTGAGCACGAGCTCCAGCCCCACACCTCCCCAGGCAGGTGCCTCTCCTTTCCATCCAACCAGCAGCACCACCAATTCAAAACAAATATTTACCCTCTCCTGACACAGAGGAATAAAAGGGAACATTTTCCTGCAAATCCAACCGTGTGTTGTGTTGTTCTCGCAAAGCTTCCGCCGCAAACAGGCTCGTAAATTTTCTCGAAGCAGTTAAAAACAAAACACTGACACGAGCAGGTGAGGCAAGAACGGAACAGCCCCGACATCCCCGAGCCCGGACCGGGAACGGCATCTCGTGCCCGGAACGCGCACCGGTCCTGCCGGGAATCTCTGCCCATGGGCTTTGCAGAGACACCAGCAGCCAAGGGAGGCTTTGGAAGCGCAGCAATTGGCACCCACGACAACCGGAGCGTAACGGGAACAACACCGGGCACGGCGAGCGCGGCAGCTGCGCCCGCGGCGGCCCCGTGCGCGCTCCCGGAGCTGCGGGGGATGCTCGGGGGGACCCCAGCCCGGAACCGGGAGCCCGCTGAGCGACCCGCGACCCCGGCTCGGGGCTGGGGATGCCCCGCGCGGGGCTGGCGGAACCGGGATCCCCGTCAGAGCCGGGCCCGTCCCGGGCTGATGCAATTGGGATCTCCGCTCAGACAGCAAAGGCACCCGGGATGCCCGAGCCTCCGGGCCGGGGCCTGTCCCGCTGCGGCCACCGGGACCCTCCTCGTCCCCCGGGCAGGGCGCACGGCGCTGCCCGCGCCCCGCCGGGCCCGCTGCCCGACCCTGCGGCGGGGGCACCGGGGCCTCCCCGCGCGGCAGGTGTCGGTCTCCGGAGGATGCTGCGGGCGCGGCGGGCGGCGCGGGCCGGGCCCGGCGCGGCGGAACCGGGGGTGGGGGGGTGGAACGGGGGCCGTGATGGGGGGGCTGGGGGGCCTCCCCCCCCTCCCCTCCGGTGCCCGCGGCGGGCGCCGCCCGCCCCCGCCAGGGGGCGCTGCCCGCCCCGCCCGCCGCCGCCGCCGCTGCCCCCGGCCCGAGGGGCTCCGCGGGGGGGGCGCCGCCCCTCACACCCCCCCGCCCGCCTCAGCCGGGGGCGGCGGCGCCGAGGCTCACCCGGTGCGCGCGGGTCAGGCTCAGGTCCTTCATGACTTCCTCGAAGGCCGCCGTCTCCTCCGCCTGCTTCTGGTTGTGCAGCGCGATCTTCTCGCTGAATTTCCGCGGGTTGTTCGAGGCCGCCATCTTCCCCCGTCCGCATCCCCCTCCCCGCGGCCGAGGGGGGGGGGGCGGCGCGCATGCGCCGGCGCGCGGAGGGGGGGGCGGCCGCAGGGCGCGTGCGCGGCGGCGGCGGCGGGGCGGGAGGGGGCGGTGAGGGGGCGGAGGTTGCGCATGCGCGGGGCCGGGCGCGCGCGGGAGGGACGGCGCGGGCGGGGGCGCGCGCGCGTGCGCGGGGCCGGGGCTTCCCCCGGGGCGGGGGCGCGCGCGGGGCCCGGAACCGGGCCCGGAACCGGTGCTGGTCACGGTCCTGATCCTGTCCCGGACCGGGTCCTGGTCCTGTCCTGATCCGGGTCCCAATCCTGTCCTGATCCCGGTTCTGGTCCCGGTCCCGGTCCGGGTCCTGTCCTGATCCCGGTTCTGGTCCTGGTCCCGGTCCCGGTCCCGGTCCCGGTTCTGGTCCTGGTCCTGTCCTGATCCCGGTTCTGGTCCCGGTCCGGGTCCTGGTCCTGGTCCCGGTTCTGGTCCCGGTCCTGGTCCTGATCCCGGTCCCGATCCGGGTCCCGGTCCTGTCCTGATCCCAGTTCTGGTCCTGGTCCTGGCCCCATCCCGGTCCTGGTCCTGGTCCTGGTCCTGGTCCTGTCCTGATCCCGGTTCTGGTCCTGGTCCCGGTTCTGGTCCCGATCCTGGCCCCATCCCGGTCCCGGACCTGGTCCTGGTCCCGGTCCCGGTTCTGATCCCGATCCTGGTCCTGGGTCCGATCCCGGTTCTGTCCCCGATCCCCATCCCTGCCCCTGTTCTTGTGTTTGTCCTAATCCCGATCCCGGACCTTGTCCCTGTCCCCATCACCGGTCACGATCCCGGGTCCCCATCCCTGTCCCTGTCCCT